CTAAAACACAGCTTGATTTGCAGGAAGATGATCTGGGATCATCTCAGCCACATGCTGGCTTTATGAGGTTGGAGCAGTCACCTCGCCTGTCGGCAACTCCGCCTCCTGAATCCAAAGTGAGGGTGATGGGACTGCCTGCTGCGTTGGGGGCCTGGGGACAGGCTTTGGGAACAAGCAGCTGGAAGCCCCTCTCTATCTGGCACCTGGGGCTGCAGTCATCATGACCCTGTGGTCCCCTCCTTTCGCCACAGTGGCTATGAGAGGTGAGACTGGGTGGCATCTTCCTATAAAGGAAGTCCGGGGGCTTGACCCCAGCTACCATCTCCTCCCTGTCATTGTGGGCTCGAGGCAACGAGGACAGAGACAGACAGAGACACCCGCTTGTGTAGTTGCCAAGACTCATGCCCAACACCCACTCTGCTCTGTTCCCCAGGCACTTGCTGGCTGACCCTCCCACGTCACAGGGTCTGGCCACTGATATTCACAATAGGCACCCGAAGTCACCCAGACACAAGTCTCCAGCCCTGCTGTGGAGAACATGGTTCTAACTCAAGACTCTCCAAGATTAACGAAGAAACCAGGGCTGTATGTTTTAAACATCGTTTATTGCTACCCCTCCCAACTATTGTGGAAAACCTGAAAAATGTGACAAAATACTTGTCAGTCCCCGAGTCCACCCCATTATTAACGTTTTGAAATTGTTCCCTTTGAGCTTTTTTATGTCAGAATCTGAGGCAGAAAGTCAGATGGGCCCTGTTATGAGAACTACAAAAGCAATATTTACATGAGTAATAATAATAAGTATCATTTCTTACCGAGCCCTTACCATGCATGGGACACCTTTCTAAACGTTTACACACATTATTTCATTTAATCCCCAAACAGCCTGGTGAGGTTTAGTTCTCATCCCCTCTTGTGATGAGGAAGCAGACGCCGGAGCCGGGACCAGGATGATCCAAAACCCCAGCGGCTGTTTCTGCTTGTCTCTGGGGCGCAGGAGTTGCCCACCTCTGTACTCCACAGGCCCCCGGGCTCACCCCTTAACTCATCAGGTCCAGTTGCTGTGACAATGAAATTGCATCCCCTGGGCATAGCCCTGGAGTGGGGTGAGGGGCGTCTGGCATGTGCAGGGAGTTAGGGAGCAGGGGTCACACCCTCCCACAGAGCGTCCACAGCCAATGGCTGTGAGTCTGAGTCAAATAATTAACATTATGCCGGGAGCTCCGAGTACCAGGCCTGAGCAGAGGCAGGACACAGAGAGGGCCTAGTCCTTTGGGGGGGGGGATGGGGGCTCACCAGCGGATGGGAGAGGCTCAGCCCCTGTCTTGAGGGGACCCTCCGTCCAAGGAAGAGGAAGTCTCCCGTCTGATGGGGAGGAGGATTCTGTAGTCAGATGAAAGAGCCTCCGGTGCTCCTGGGGAAAGTGCACCTGGCAGAGGAGACACGCCTCCCCGCGTGAGAAAGGGAGACCGCACACCCGCCCAAAAGACTCCGAATAGCAGAGACAGAGAATGGACATGAAATTAACCCATTTCATCAAATCCAAGATGCCGCCGATTATAAAGGGCATCATTATTTTATATTCTGCTAAGAATGAAAAACACCAGTAATTGCACTATGACATACCATCAGTTATAAGACTTAACTGATTTCAGAGATGTGAAAATGCACTTTTAAAAGGTAAGGTTTAGTGTTTAACGGGTAGAGAAGTTTCACTTTGGGAAGAGGAAAACGGTCTGAAGACGGATGGTGGCGATGGTTGCACAACAATTTGAATGTACACAAGGCCACTGAACTGTATACTTAAAGTGGTAAATTTTATGTGACATGTTTTATTGCAATCAAAAAATGAAAAAAATGTAAGGCCTATGGTCAATGAAATGTGACTGTGCAATTTCAGTGCGGGGGACCAGGGGGACCTGGCAGGAAGGGGGAACCGACAGTCCTGGCGGGCCTGGACGCCAATGAGTACTTTCTAGAAGAGGAAAGGGGAGGAGCTGTGGGGGTGCGTGCTGGGTGGATCTGGGAGGGCAGGTGAGGGGCATGGCCTCAGCCCTGTTCTGCTGTCCCGCAGGTGCCAAGAGGAATGCCCCTTCGGGACCTTCGGCTTCCAGTGCTCACAGCACTGCGACTGCCACAACGGGGGCCAGTGCTCACCCAGCACCGGTGCCTGCGAGTGTGAGCCGGGCTACAAAGGCCCGCGCTGCCAGGAGCGGCTGTGCCCCGAGGGCCTGCACGGCCCAGGCTGCACCTTGCCCTGCCCCTGTGATGCTGACAACACCATCAGGTATGAACTGGAGGTAGGGGTGGGGTGGGCACTGGTGGGGAGAGGGCTTCTCAGGGCCCAGACCCTCACCTGCAGCCCGGTCATCCAGGCAGGACAGTGGAGGAACTGGGACCCCAGCAACCGTCTTTGCCGGCCACTTTGGTGAAAAGAAGGGAAAGCCCAGGCCTCAAAGACAGTCAGAACCAGGACCCAGATCACCTGCCTCTGTCCACCACACGAGGCTGTCAGCATTGAAAATGGGCTAACCTGAGCCCCCTACGCCCAGGAGCAAGGAGGAGTCTGATGACCTTCAGAGGAGTGGGGTGGGGGTGGGTAAAGTCACACAGTCCTTGGAGGCCAGGGTGGCAGGCTCTGGTGCCACAGGCCCTGGGGAACTGTCCTGGAGAACATTTCACCTCCACACGCTCTGCATTTAACCAAATGCTTCCCCAGCCCTAAGGTGCCCAGAGATAGGGCTGCCTAGGCAGAAGCAGGAGCCACAGAGGGCCGGTAGTAGGTGGTGTGGCTCTGCCCAAGCCAGTTTGGATCAGTTGTTAAGAGTGTTGGCCCACAGACTGAAGGGTCCCAGGTTCCATTCCCAGTCAAGGGCATGTACCTTGGTTGCAGGTTAGATCTCCACCTTCTGTCAGGCACTTGCTGGAGGTAACCAATCAATGTGTCTCTCTCACTTCAATGTTTCTCTCTCTGTCCCTCTCTCCCTTCCTCCGTCCTTCCCTTATCCCTCACTTCCATTCTCTCTAAAAATCAATGGAAACAATATCCTTGGTTGAGGATTTATATTTTTAAAATATATTTTTAAAATTGATTTCAGAGAGGAAGGGAGAGGGAGAGAGAGATAGAAACACATTAATGATGAGAGATTCATTGATCAGCTGCCTCCTGCATGTCCCCTACTAAGAAATGAGCCTGCAACTTGGGCATGTGCCCTGACTGGGAATCAGACTGTGACCTCCTGATTCATAGGTCAACACTCAACCACTGAACCACACTGGGCGGGCCTTGGGTGGGGATTTTTTTAAAAATCAGTGAGGGCTGTCCTTAGCTAGGGAGGAGGGACAGGAGGGACAGAGGACAGGCCCTTCATTAAGGCCTTGGCTTGGAGCCAGCCTCTCCCTGCGCTGTGTCCATTGGGGCTTGGGGACACGTGGGCTGAAGCGGGCCCCACCCCTGCTTCCAGAGGAGCCTGAATCTGGAAAGCCGAGCTGCCCTGGGGCACCTCTCTGGCTCCCTTCACTTCCTGTTTCGCACCAGCTGGCACCATCTTCTGATATAAATGAGGCTGATGGTCCCCGACAAATGCCTCCACAGCCCTTTATGTGGCTGCCTCTCATCTGGGCGGTAAAGTGTGGGGAGAGGCTCCCTCCTCCCCTTGGGCCTGCAGGACAGCTCAGGGGAGGACTGGCCGCTCGGGGCAGTGCATGCTGCTGCTGTTTGCAGCCCTGTCTCTGGGACAACCAGGACTTAGTCTCAGACCCTCTTCATTTCCAGCTTCTGATTCTCCACAAATCACCCAAGAGCCTCTGGCCACTGCAAACAGGCATCTTAGGGAGTGTTATGGCTTAGATGGAATCTGTCCTCAGTCCTCAGTCCCTGGAGCTGAGTGGCTGGGGTGGTGCTGCCTACAAGGGTGGGGGCGGGGGAGAGCTGGGAGGGAGACTGTTGTAGGGGGACCTGGAGCCAACAGAATTGGCCTGTATATGAGCTGAGCACTCATTTGCTGAATCATTCATTCAACAAACACTGAATGCCTGCCTGCAGGGGTGGACTGCAAAGAGGAAATAAAGGGTCCTTCATCACGAGTCCAGCCCCTAGGTACTCAGGTCTGCAGCCGTCATACACACTGAGCACCTTCTATCATATTTCTTCAAAACCAGTTGTGAGGCACAGCTATATTTTATAGACTGCTAAACAAGGAAAATGCTATCAACTGAATCAAGATGCGCCATTGATTGTATAACACACTCAATATCAGAGCTATGAAAATGTGGGAGAAAATGCATCTTAGAATCATTGAAATATATATATGGCTGGTCCACATTGTGCTCAAGTCACTGTGACCCAGGGCTGTGTGCAGAAAGAACTACTGGAGGCTGCTATGCTGGTCAGGGAAGGAGGTGGCAACAGGCTAGAGGCCAGGGTGAGAGCTCCAACGCTCCAAACACAGGAGTTCCACATGACCTGTCAGGGACCTGGGTAACTAGCTCAGGCTGTTTCATAGTTAGGGGACACAGGAACCCCCATGCCTGTTGGGAAGCCAATGGAGGCCCCTTTCTGGGACAGGAAGCAAGGCTGCTACTGAGATCTAATGCAGGGCGAGTCCCTGCCACAGAGATCCAACCAGGGCCCAAATGAAAGAGCTATTGTTCTCCTCCCGTGCCTGAGCAGCCATGCCCTGCATAATTTATCCCTTCTCTGAAGGAGTCCTCGATGCATTATTAATCTGGAAGGACTCCCTCTTCTCTGTCGCTAATCTCAGCCCATCCAATATTGATGATTATTTACTTTACTGTCTTTAATGTGTGTCATGTTCAGAGACTGGGAGGCAGTCGCGCTGCTTAGAAGTGGAGGCTCCGAGAGCACCGGGTAGCCAACCCCCCAGTCTGGTCTCCTCAGAGTCTACATGAGCCTGGGCTCCTTGAGGGCAGGAGCGCCTGGCTCGTCCACCTCTGCAGCCTCAGCATGGCGTAGTGCCTGCACAGAGCAGATGGTTCTGCCCTTGAGCTGCCATCGCCCTATATTTTAAAAAATATTGCACCCCTTTCTCTTGGCATACTGCCCCAGTGGCTGAGCCCCCAACACTCACAAAGCTCAGTCTAACTCAGGGTTTCACAGTCTCACCACTGTTGACATTTGGGGCTGGATAATTCCTTGTTGTACAATTTACGGTGTTTAGCAGTATCCCTGGCCTCTGCCCACAAGATGCCAGTAGGAACACCCCGCCCCCAAATTCTGAAAACCAGAAACGTTTCCTGGGTGGCACAGGGAAGGCAAAATTGCCGAGGCCCAGAGCCTCCAGTCTGACTGAGCGTCTCATGTTGCACTGGCCTGTCCCCAGGGACAGAGAAGAGCTGTCTTCCTCTGTGTGGACACAGGTCACTTCCCTCTTCCCATGAACCTTTGTTCCATTAGGGAGCCTTCTCTTGGGGCCCTAGAAAAACCAAGGGACACCTCTGTAACTCCTAATCCCAAAACAGAGCAGCTGCAGGTTCTGGTGGGGTCCGGGGCCCCCGAGTCCTGACCTCAAAACTACCTCTGAACAAATGTCCTGAGCTGTGTGCTTCTCCTCTCTCTGTCTCCATTTCCCAATCTGTCCGTCACCTTTCAGCAGCCCGGTGCGGGTAAAGTTCTCTTGTAGTCTTTGAGAGTGAAGCTTCCATCCAACTCCCGAGATGGAGCATGGGACCCCGGGAGCCTAGCCTCATTTTCCTCCGGCTTCTGCTTGCTTCTGTTGTAAGAACTTATGGCAGAAGCCCTCCCTCCCATGCCGGCTTGCAAGGCCTTGAGTATCTTTACAAGGAAGACAAGGACGCCCAGCCCCCACCCCAAGGAAACCTACTCCTCCAGCCATCCCCAGCCCGCCTGCTCTGCGCCCCTCCACCCCTCCGGAGAGGCTGCTTCAAAGAGGTGAAGTCCACGTGCCTGGGAAGGCGCAAGTGGCTGATAAGATCCCTCGGCACTCCATTCCCTTTGTGCAGACACACAAAGAAGCCACCCTCCTTCGCAAAGGAATAACCTTGAAGAAGAGGGCCTGCGTGCCGGCCTCTCCCAGCTCCCTCCACAATTGGGTTGTCAGAGACGGATTCTAGCAGCCAGGATCATGTATTACCTTTGAAAGATTTGATTCAGCCAACAGATGCAGCATTGATAGTCATCTCAGAGCAGCCAGGGGGAAAAGGCAGAAAAATCCACCCTGAAAAGATTCCTATATTGTTCAACTTTGGGCTCCCATTAACTTGTGATTAATCTGTGTCTGGGGGAAATGGGAGAAAGGCGAGGAAGGCGACCCAGAGCAGAGCTCAGCACCAGTGATGGTGACTTTTGCCTGAGCCAGACCAGCAGTCACTTGCCCGCCCTGTGACCCAGGGGCGTGAGTGGCTCTGCCCCCTCTGGAGGAGGAGAGCAGGAGGCATGGAGAGGTGCTGAGAACGCAGGGAGCACGTGCTCAGTCATCGCCATGCAGGCAGCAGGCATTCCCCACTCTCTTTTCAAAGGGATTTTGGAGTTTTTATAAAACATGACAAGTGACCAAATTAAGAAAATAGAGATCTTGTTTTTTAAAATGAAATTGTAGGATATAGCCCAACCAGTATGGCTCAGTGGTTGAGCATTAACCTATGAACCAGGAGGTCGTGGTTCGATTCCCGGTCAGGGCACATGCCCGGGTTGCGGGCTTGATCTCCAGTGTGGGGCAGGCAGTTGGCGGCCAATCAATGATTCTCTCTCATCATTGATGTTTCTATCTCTCTTTCTTTCCCTCTCCCTTCCTCTCTGAAATCAATACAAATATATTATTTAAAAAGATAATAAAAGTGTAAGGATATGAAAGGAAAGGGAAAGAAAGAATTTCAGGTTTGGTTTTTAGCTTTCTGGTGCTCAGGGTGAAAAGTAAAACTGGTGCTGAGACACACCTTTGAGCAGCCAAAATGCTGAGAGCTGTGGTGGAAAATGGGAAATGCAGGCGTGCTTAGAAGTCAGCGTTTGCTGGTTCACTGTATCTCTAGCATGCTTGTCATAGGGCGGTGTTCCCGCAAGAACAAGGACCTGCAGTAAGAAGTTCTATAGATGGGAAGGGCAGAAGGATGCCTAAGACCCTTTAGAATCTCCCAGGCTGGGCACAGCTGATCGCTACAGCCAGCACCGCCTGCTTGTCATTTCCTGGGTCCAAGCATTTCATTCTCCACCTCAGTGACTGAGCCGGTCCCTCTAACCCTAAACCCAAACCTCAGAGGAGGCCCCTGGATAGTCGGAACTGAGAAAGGCCATGCCTGAGTGCTTTGCTCAGTGTTGGGACAAAGAGGAGTAACCCACACTGTCTGGCTGAGGGTCCGGGCCACCAAATGGGGCCTCCTGCCCCTTGGCATCCATGCAGGCCACTCTTTCTCCCCTTGCCATGTAGGGCTCCGGGAGGAGTTTTTCTGGAAATTTTTGGAAGAATTTCTAGGCAGGAAGTCTTTTTTTAAAATATATTTTTATTGATTTTTTTACAGAGAGGAAGGGAGAGGGATAGAGAGTTAGAAACATCGATGAGAGAGAAACATCAATCAGCTGCCTCCTGCATGCCCCCGACTGGGGATGTGCCCTCAACCAAGGTTCATGCCCTTGACCAGAATGGAACCTGGGACCCTTCAGTCCACAGGCTGCCGCTCTATCCCCTGAGCCAAACCGATTAGGGCTAGGCCAGGAAGTCTTAAAAAACTCATCCTTTACATGCATTCTTCTTTTTTACATATTTATACTTTAATTGCTTTATATCTGTTTATAAATATGGGATGTCCCCCCAAAATGTATACACACACTGAAATATAAAGACAGTATTTATTAAAATACATTTTATTTTCAAAGTTGAGCTATCAGCTGTTAAAGTGTGTTTACGTTTTGGGAAGACACACTATATATGCTCAATTTGGGAATGTTAGAGAATACATAGAAATTTAAAGAAAAAAAACTCAAAATCACTCATAATTTGTCAACCCAGAAGGGAGCACAAAAACCATTTTGTTGTAATTTGTTCATTCATCATTCATCATCCATGTCTGTATATATCTACCTCACTTTTTTCATACTTTAGATCATGACATTGCATATAATTTGCTTATTTCACTTAACCTTATATCATGTCATTAAATACTTTGGAAGATATTTGAATGATCTTTTAAACATTCCTTCTTATGAATTGTCATAATTCATTTCAGCAGTATCCTTTTGTCAGAGGCAGCATGAGGCAGGGGACAGAACACAGTCACACAGACCGGGGTGTGATCCCGGCTGCCACTGATTCCGCTGTGTGACCTTGGGCATGTCACATAACCTCCAAGTGCCATCTGTAAAATAGAGGACCCAATGCCTAGTTCACAGGCTTATTTGATTATTAGAAATATATGTGTAAAGTACCTGGCGCTTTAGCAGCCTGGCCACATGTTATATATTATTTAAAGTGCTTCCATTTTCCACTGTTATAAATAATGCTTCGGGAAACATTGGCGTGCATAAATCTTTCCCCACAGCTATGATTATTTCCTTAGGATAGGTGCTAAGAAATGGAATTACCAGACCAAAGGATCTGAATATTTTTAGCAGGACTCCCGATACATACCCTCACATTGTTTTTCAGAAACCTTTACCAGCATTGAACCTTGTTCCTTTAAAACCAAAAATCTTTTTACTGTTATAATAGATAAAAAGTGATATGCAGTTGATGATTAATGAGACTAGTTAAGAATCCAACATTTTCCAAAATGATTACTAGCTATTTGCACTTCCTATTCAGGAACTGCCTGCTCCTGTCCATCCCTCATTTTCCAGGGGGTCCCAGAAGAGAATTGGCTTTGTTGGGCTTCACACAATTAGTTTGTTCATTATTTCATCCGCCAAATATGTACTGAGCATCCCCAGTGTGCCAGGGACCCTGCTCCATCCGGGGTACAATACAGAGGTGAAACAACAGCAGGCTCTCCCCATGGGGCTGTCACCTCGTGGCGGGGGCGGG